GCGGAAGCTATGGCCATTAAAGAAGCTTTGACATGGGTTAAGGAGCGTGGTTACTCGAAGATCATAATATTTTCAGATTGTCAGCAAGTGTGTAATTTGCTTACGGACTCGTTACAGGATTTATCATTTGCAGGTTGCATCATTAACGAATGCCGAAAGCTCCAACGACACTACAAAAGTGTGTCTATTAAGTTCATTTCAAGATCAGTGAATAAAGCCACTCATGTTCTGGCAAGGGCAGCTCGTTCGAACTCTGATGGTTTAATTTGGCTTGATTCTATTCCATTATGTATTGAACATTTGCTTTAATGATTAAAGTCCTTTGGTTTTCAAAAAATAAAAAAATAAAAAAAAAATAAAAAATTGTACCTTTCATAAGAGCATCCACACTAAGGGGAGATTGTGGAGTTATTTCAGAAGAAATAACTTGGATTGAGTTATTCACTAGTGTGGGATGGAGTTATTAGATGAAATAATCATCCTGCAAATTACAAAATAATGTCAGAAAATAAAGAAAAAGAAAAAGTGAAAGGAAGAAATGCTGTGCGCGTTTCGCGCACAGCAGGGCCAAAACCTGGCGCGTGCAGTGCACGCACCAGGTGGCGCGTCAGGCGCGCCAGTCGGCGCGACTGGCGCGCCTGACATAACTTTTTTTATTTTATTTTTTAATTTTTTTTATTCTGTTTTGTTTTATTTTATTTATTTTTTCTCTCCCCTCCCACCTTCTCTTTCCTAATCACTCTTACATTATCTCCACATTCTTCCCAACTAATGTGGATGCTATAAGTTCAAAGTTGGAGGGTCTATTTAACCATTTTTTTCATAATAAAATAATAATTAAAATTAAAAAAGGGAAAAAGTACAACATGTAGCCTATTGTTCGGCTTTGCAAGCTTTTAAAGAATGAAAGATTGCAAGCCAAGTGGAAATAAAAAGAAATACGACGTATTTAAAAAGAGAAAGAAACAGGCCAGGTCACCTCATTTTGCAAGTGCAATCTTTGCAGGAATGGAGTTAGCCTAAGGTTAGTGTGCTTGACGCATCCTCACTTTGGAGTTTGGACATGTGTCTTCATCATATTAAATCTCTAGTAATAGTTAAATGACATACCAATCTACAAATATAACATAAATATCCTAAGAATGAGATTGATACACTAAATTAAATATACATTTTTAAGCTCACCCAGAGTGTGCCATTTACACTCTTTGGTTTCAACATTGTACTTAACTTACTATTTAAATTGAGCTCATAAATGAATAAATAAAACACTATGGCTCTGTTTAGCAAACCTAGCTGAAAAGCTATAAGCTAGGAGCTGAAAGCTGAAAAGCTATAAGCTCAGAGCTGAAAATTGAAGAGCTGTTAAGCTAGCTGTTATGATTGAAAGTGTTTGGTAAAATTAGCTTTTTGATAAGCTGATAAATGTAAAAAGACTAAAAAGGACATCTTCATAAAATTTAAATTAGTTTGTTTACATATTAAAATTTAACATTTTATTTTTAAAAAAATTAACATTTTGAAATAAAACTATTAGCATAATCATGATCTAGTATCTCATAATGAAGTAGCAATATTGTTGTTGTAATAATAATAATAATAATAATAATAATAATAATAATAATAATATTTGAGGTGAAAGTTGCGGATAAAGGAAAAGAGAAAAGAGTTTTAATTATGAAGGGTAAATTATGTCATTTCTTTAAAATAATAAGGATAAAGATGGAAAAAAGTTAGGAAGTTAGGGGCTTATTTTGAAACGCTACCTAAAGTAGCGTTCCAAAATAAGCTCTTATTTTAAGCTAGGAGCTTATTTTGGGAACATTACCAAACAGAGCTTATAGCTTATTAATAGCTTAAAATAAGCTATAAGCTTCTAAATAAGCTCTGCCAAACAGACCCTATCACTTCGAATTCTATTCGCACGGTGCATATAATTGTTTACATTGTTCTATACACAAGACTACAAGTATTATTAAAATTTATTTCAAAAAATTGTGTATCGCGAGATTTCACAATATTCTAAAAAACAAATGACATATCTTTGTTTGTTGAATTTAATGTCGATTATATATATCTCTCTCCTATACTAATATTTGAGGTCGAGTTTTCACTGAGATTTTTTATCTAACATTTGAATTTATTTTTTTTCAATTGCCCTCAATGCAGTGCATGGAGTTATGGACTGACTTCTACCGACACTGAGGTCAGATTTTGCATCAACCTAAAGATCAACATTAATATCGTCTAGAAACTGTCTCGTTCCGACGCGGAGGTCGGATTTACATTGATCTAGGGTTCGGTTTCCTCGGGCGTTGAGACTAATTACACTGTTGTGATCAGATTCAATAATGTCTTACCGATACATTACATCGGAACAAAATTTACAAATACCAGGTCAGACTACACACTATCGGTGTTGTGGCATGCGCCGATGCTGGTGTCTTGGGTTCCCTATCAGTCCCCCACTCTCTGTGGTGCTAAGATCGGCACCACATGAGAGTAGATAAGGTAATCGAATGATTATGGAAGTCGCAAATGTAAGTCGAACGACTCATGATTGGGATCCTCTTCACCAACGAAGTTATGTCGAGGATGCATGATTGGGGACGCGTGACTAATAGTACCAGTCCTCATAGAAGGTGCCAAATGATGTGGTAAATGCTCTCAAGTATATGGATATGAGTAGAAGTTATAGTATGGAAGCTCGGGTAATTAAGATCGAGGGTCCGAGGTCCCTAGCTACTAAGTACCTTGGAGAGAAATGCTAAAATTACCCTTTCCTCGCATTTAATGTGGTATTTATATGGGGAGGGAGGAGACACATGCCGGGCGCCTGGCATACCCGCCACGTGTTCCCATGCATTTGGAAGATCGTCGGCTTTACAAATTAATTCACGTGGATCGTGATCCCTAACAGGCTTATCCTTTAGAATAGAAAGTGCTCCTGGTTGGAATACCCGGTCCGAGTTGATATTCAATGGCTTGCTCATATCTCTCTGTAGGTCAGGTCGAGAATTTTTTTCTCGTGCCCCTGTAAGACTTTCCCATAGGAGCCTTAATTATGTGGTGCAAGTGGACTAGGCCCATTAAGTAATTAGTTGGACTGGACATTAGGTTAAGTCTGTATTCCACCAATATGCCTATATAAAGCCTGTATTGATGGGATACAGGACATATTCATTATATAACAAAATAGCAATCCAAAGTTCAAACACTATACTAAGTACTAATTACCAATCATCAGTTAACTTTTTTGCACAACCGACTCTTCAGTTGGTTCACTTGGAACATGTTTATTGACAAGATAAATAAACATCAATTTGTATAGTTGATATTAGAAGTCAAGTACTATATAGTTAATTTTTGGACACAATCTGTCATTGCTAGTGCACTCGAAATATATTTCGGTATTAGAAAATAATTATAGTGCACTGGAAATCAAAATTATAATGACTGTAAAGCACATTAAATTTATAGAATCATGAAACTAAAGAAAATACTGAATATGTAAATATAACTCAAGTTAGATATAATTGTGAGTTAATGAATAATTGTGACAAACAACAAAAGTGCATTGTAGAGAACAAATTATAAAAAAAAAAAAAAAAATCAAATAAAAAATTTAAGGGAAATACCAGTGAGAATAAAAATTGAACGGCGGGGCAAACATCAAGGGACTTGGACTTATTATTATTATTATTATTATTATTATTATTGTTATTATTATTATTATTATTAGGAAAAATTGCATTTTTCGTCCCTAAGTTATAGGGTAATTGTAGAATTCGCCCCTCAGTGTTGGTCATGCTCACTTTTCGTCCCTAAGTTATCATTGGCGTTGCACTTTTCGTCCCTGAGTTATAAAGTAATTGTAGGATTCGTCCCCATGTGTTGCTCATGTTCACTTTTCGTCCTTAAGTTATCATTGACATTACACTTTTTGTCCATGAGTTATACTAAACTTGCAAATTAAATTCCGTCTCTAATCACTATTACATAAATGATATACTACGTCACTTAATAGACGGTGGTTTTTTAAATAACCACCGTCTAATATATTGTTTCATACGACGTCACTTAATAGACGACAGTTATTTAAATAACTGCCGTATATACTATATAGTTGACATACACGGCGGTTGTTTAACCGTCGTAGAAAGTGTATATTTACAACGCATACACTTACACACGCGACACTTCAAAAACTGTCGTGTATGTGTACAAAAAAATTGCCGGTGGTTATTTAAAGTGTATGACGTAAAAAAAAATTAATTAAGGTATATACGACGGTTATTTAAAAAACCGTCGTCTATTAAGTGACGTAGTATAACAAAATATATTAGACGGTGGTTATTTTAAAAACATCCGTCTATTAAGTGACGTAATATACCATTTATGTAGTAATTAGGGACGAAATTTGTAATTTTAGTATAATTCAGGGACGAAAAGTGCAACACCAATGATTACTTAGGGACGAAAAGTGCAACGCCAATGATAACTTAGGGACGAAAAGTGAGCATGACCAACACTCAGGGACGAATTCTACAATTATAAAATAACTCAAGGACGAAAAGTGCAACGCCAATGATAACTTAGGGACGAAAAGTGAGTATGACCAACACTCAAGGACAAATTCTACAATTACCCTATAATTTAGGGACAAAAATTACAATTACCCTATAATTTAGGGACAAAAATTACAATTTTCCCTTCTTATTATTATTATTATTATTATTATTATTATTATTATTATTATTATTATTATTTATTTAAAAATCGTATGGTATTCGGCTCGGTTTGGCTCGATTTTTATCAAACCATTCAATTTCGGTTCAGTAGAGATCAAAATTCGAATCTCAACGGTCACAGTGTGAAAGTTATATTCAAAGTGGACAGATTCTTTCTGCGCTTACATCCTCTCACATGCTCTGTCCGGTAGAAGTGTACCTTTTGGGGAAGGGAAGATGCTGTTTGGCTTCAATTCACCAGAGAGATTTAATCGCAAAGACATTCTGGAATTCATACCACACACTAAACCAAAAGTATATATATATTAAACCTATTCACATGCTGTAACATCTACACATTAATTAAACTAGGTGATTCAAAGTAAACACATTATGCAAAATACTAGGACTTCATAGAACTATAATCATCTGAATTTTTGGATCGTTTTCATCCCGTCACAGAAGACGGATCGCTAGTTCTGTTGTAAGAAGCTTGGTGATGAACACCGTTCTTCAACTCCAGCTCTTTCTGGTGGAGCAGAAGAACCATTCTGTCGTTCTCCAATTTCTTCCGTTGGTTCATCATCTTCTCCCTCTCCATCTCCCTCTCCTTCTTGCTGCTGAACTTTTCCCATTTCACTCGCTGCTTTTCCAGCTCCAATGCTTCGGATTCATACTCCACCCGCTGCTCCTCCAATTGCATCGTTCTTGCTTTTATCCACCGCCGCTTTTCCACCGGACTCCTCGTACTGTCTTCACACATGTTTCTTAATTCTCCGCTCAGCTGTTGCAGCACCATGGCCGACCAAGATTCCGTCTTTCTAGCCTTCTTTCTTGATTTTTCGTCGATACTGGAATCCTCCTCATCCTCCTCGTATTCCTCGTCGTCATCGCTATCCTCGTCATCGTCGTTGTCGATTTTTAGTCCCTCTACCTCTGCCGGCGCCAAATTCGGCCCGATTCTGACATTCTCAGATGAATGCATACACTTCTGGTGAGGATTATTGGCCTGAGAAGTGGGGTCCGATCCTCCGTCGGCGGCGGTGCTTCCGCTAGCGCCGCCGTGGGCGCAGCTGTTATGGTAAGCACACATTTCCCTGAAAAACAAGTGCTTAGAGTTTAGCAATTTCTTGGCTTCCTCCTTCATCTTTGGCGATAAATCCAATGTTTCCAGCAAGGTTTGATTCTCGACAACCTTGCACGCGGTGCCTTTTCCGATGATATCATTCACCCTCTTGTACCTCTTGTTCAGATCATTGAACTTATCCTCGCATTGCTGGGGGGACACGTAGAATCCCCTCTCCATCATCGCCCGCGACACCGACTTCCACTTCCCTTTCTTCTGCATAACGCCGCCGCCGCCGCCGCCGGCGGCCTTCTTCTTGTTCCCGGCCGGGTCGTTGATATTCCCTTCAGATCCAACCTCATCGCCGATGTAATACACCACCATAATCAACAGCCTCACCATATTATCCGTCCATTTCATTCTCTGCCACGGGCACATTTTCCTCTTCCCATCATCAACGCTGTTCTGATCGGCGGTGGGCCCTCCGGGATCATTGTCGTCGCTGAGGGTCAAGCCTGGGGTGGGTTTGGGCTTATTCCCAGAAGGGTAAGTGCCGCCGCCGCCGCCTGGCCAGGACACCATGGGAGGGTGGGATTGGTGCTGCATGGGGTGGGGGTTTTGTTGAGGTGGGACATGGTGAAGTGACATTTCTAGCCCTAACATTCCAGACCCCATGTTCGAATACATACCATTAGATTCCATTGTTACACCTTAAACAATTAGCACCATACATAAAACTAAGAAAATCAAAAACCAAGATTTCAAGAAAGTCTGATCTGCAACAACTCTTCTCTTTACCTCAAAGAGATGAGTGGGTTTTGGCAGACAATTTCTGCAAATGGAAGAAAAGAAGAAGGAAAAGTTTTAGCTGATATTGTGGTTAGCGCAATGCAGTTTTCAAGAATATAATGGGTGAAGAGGCGATAGATAAAAGGGCAGTTAGAGGCTAGAGGGAATATAGAAATAGAATTGCAGCTGGTTTTGGGGGTGTGGATGTTGATTTAATTTGTGCCGGTAGAAATAAAAGAGTGCCCATTGTTTTATGTATGGGCTTTCCCGGCTAAGCTTTTGAGTGCATGCGTGTGGGCGGATTTGGATGGACACCGAAGAGAGAGTCCACAGAAATTCGCAAAACTGCCACCTTTCTTCAGTCTTGTTTTTGACCAATCCAATCCGCTCATATTTCACTACTGGTTACTGGTTAGCAGACGTATTCGCGTGTATTTTTAAACTAGTTTTTATACGCACTTTGCCCGAATAGGATAATGCTCAATACTTATTTTTAAATAAGTATTTCAAAGTATATCAATGTAATATTATATAGAACATGTTCATGCATAGGTAAATAAATGTTGAATTTATTTATTTAAATCGGTAATTTAAAGTATATAAATGCAAGATAATATATGAGAGATTGATTATATATAACTGTCACAAAAATAAATGTTTACAACTTTGTAATAACGTTAATCTAAGTACTAAGTCTAAAAGCGATAGTCTAAATAAATACTATTTTTGGTTAAAAATTTTCTATTTCTCTTTTAGGTAGCATTGTTATTGTTTTCATCTTCAGTACATGTTTTTTTTTTTTTTTTGGTAGTGTGTCATGTGCAATTGGTTTATTAGTAGTATCATAGAGAGATTCATCATGCAATGAGATTATGGTGTATGAAGTTTTAGATTTGTTTTGTTGTGTATATGACTGAGATCTTAGTTGTGCTATGAACTCTTTATCTTACAAGCACATGTTGATATTTGGTAGTGGTAATTTTCAGCTACATGTTTCATGTGTTGTGAGACATCTAATTCTAAATTAATTAAATGCATATATATTATTTTTATGTTGTAGTATTTTTTTAATTTAAGTAATAAGAGCAATAAAATGAGAAAATTATGATGTGGAACCGTGTCCACCTTGCAAGGTGGACAAAGGTGGACGCGGTTTCAAAACGGTTCATAATTAAAAAATTATGAACATATAGTTATATAATTATGAACATAGAGTTGTGAACATAATTATGAACATATAGTACTGTAATTATGAATATAGAGATTCAATAATTGTGAATATGAAGTTAAAAAATTATGAAATATAGCTTTATAATTATGAACATATGGTTCAGTAATTATGAACATAGAGTTCTGTAATTGTGAATATAGAGTTCAATAATTATGAATATGAAGTTCAAAAATTATGAATATATAGCTTTATAATTATGAACATATAGTTCAGTAATTATGAACATAAAACTGTGTCCACATTACAAGGTGGACATAGTTCCACAGCATAACGATTGAATAAAGTGGCGTACATACTTTTCATCCACAATAATGAAATCATTGATTTTTTTTTTTAAATTTTCATTCGTTGTTGAGACAATTTGTTTTGAGAGTTTGTCAATGACAATTACTGTCAATAGATGATGACAATAAATAATTCAAAATAAAAGGTTACAATAGATATTATTATAATAATATAGTAAAAATTAACTTACAATTTTTTTTAGAAGTTTTCATGCATTGATAAAAGCATAATTGAAATATTAAATTTTGTTCTCAATAATCAAAAGAAGATTAATTAAACGAAAAAAAAAAAAACTGAAATTAAATTAATTATTTTTTTTAATGAAAGAAAATCAAATGATTATCAAAGTTCCTGATTTATAATCATTGAATGCTATGTATTTAGTCGGGCTAATTATTTGACCAAAGTTTATGTTAAATTTTATATTTTATTTTTTAATACATTTTAACATATTCGTAGTATATGTTTAACAATTATGCTAACTCTAATTGGAATGAGGTTCAAATCTAAGACCTTTCTTATAGAAATTAATGAATAAGTTAAGAATAATAAATAGTTAACAGAATATTCCGTTAATAAAGTTTATACTAACGTTATTTAAGGAAAGAAAATAATATAATAAAGGGTAAATAAGAAAAATTATTAAAAATACTAAAATCAAAATACTATGAACCATTCATTTTAAGAAACAAGTAGTACCGATATTTTTTTTTATTCCAGTTAAGGGCCTAACATTATTGGCTCTTAATAGAATTGTAGATTAATCTTTCAGAATTTATAAAGTATCATTGGGCATCTTAACGAGTACCAATACAAGATTATTAAATTTTTCATAAAAGAATATTTCAAGAATACATAACAATGACCAATGGAATAAATGTTGGATTAATTGGCAGGTGCAATAACATGCAATAACAATTTTTAGATAGAAGCACTATCACTGAATAGTAACTTAAGCATAGTTACGTTTTTGTAACACAAAACAATATTAATTGGAGTGATCCATGCTTCATCCTGTTGCCGATTTCTGCTACAAATGAATTTTTGATTTGATCTAGTCTCCTGGTATGTTTCATTGCAATTTTAGTGCCTTAGAGCAGTGTACCTTCAAAAACATAACTAAATCCTCTTTTCACAAAAAAAGACAATGATAATAGGTATAATTTCTCAGCTGTGTTGGATATATATTGTAAATTAGGTATACAATTTTATCAATGCATGCCTTATGCATGATTCTAATTAATTAATCAAATTTCATATTAAATTTAATATTATTTTTTTAAAAACAACCGTCAAAGCGAAATATTATTGCGAAATCAAATTACAAATACAATGAGAGATAACTGCGTCTCACATCTCCTGACCCGTATACGAGCAAGAAACTCTAGCCAAAGATATTGACTGTTATATTGTACTGCGTATTTCTTTAATACACTCTAACATATTCATAGTATATGTTTAACAATAAAATGTCAGTTTCGATTGAGATGAGATTCGAATCTAAGACATTTTTTTATGAAAATCAATGAGTAAGCTAAGAATAATAAATAGTTAATGAAATATTCCTTATTAAAGTTTACACTGATGAAATGTAAAGATATTTAGGAAAAGTAAATGACAAAATAATAAAAAAATACTAAAATTAAAATAATACGAACTATTCATTCCAATAAACAATTACACCAATATTTGTTTAGTTTTGTTATGGGCCTAATTTTATTAGTTTTTATTAGGTTTATATAAAGTCACACATATTACGTCTACGTTACTTCACAAATATATTCAAAATTTGCTTCGCTATTCTTGGTCCCCGACACCCTCCCATCGTTATGTTGTGCAACCGTGTGCATCATGTATGGTGCACACGGTTGCGATCGACGTCGTTTCACTATGGTAGAATAACGGTGCTGTTAGTGGCACTGTTTAACTCCACCAATTTTTTTTTTAAAACTCCAATCGACGGGATTTTCATCATTTTCGGTGTGAATATATAGTTCACTAATTCTGGATATATAATTCACTAATTTTGGATATATAGTTCATTAATTCTGGATATATAGTTCATTAATTCTGGATATATAGTTCACTAATTCTGAATTTATAGTTCATTAATTTTGAATATATAGTTCATTCATTCTGAATACACAAACACAGCGAACTGCCATAAGCCAAAACAGAGTATCAGTAACCGGTGTGGATATATAGTTCACTAATTCTGGATATATAGTTCATTAATTCTGGATATATAGTTCAAATTATGAACAGCATAACGCCGTTAACGGCAATCGAAAATATTTTTTTTTAAAGTCGGACATCAAAACGACGTTGCATGGTGCACACGGTTGCACGACATAATTTGCCGACACCAATGGTTATACCGTGCACCAGGGCCCCACGCCTCCCAAAACGACGCCGTTTTGTTTATTTCAGGTATAAATTATGTGCATTCTATTATATAATTCTGTACATTCGAAACATGAGAATTTTCAGTTATAAAATTTTGTGTTTCCAGGTATAAAATTATGTGTTTTCAGGTATAAAATTTTGTACATTCTATTATATACTTATGTACATTCGAAACATGGATTTAAAAAAAAAATGTTAAGAGTTTATGTTTATTATGTTAAGAGTTTATGTATATTATGTTAGATTATGTGTAATATCCTTTCAAAAAAGATTATGTGTATTCAATTATAAAATTTTGTGTTTTCAGGTATAAAATTCTGTGTATTCTATTATACAATTCAGTACGTTTGAAACATTATTTTTTTATTTTTAAAGAATTAACAGAAGACACGCGAAAAGGTACAAAACGATGTCGTTTTGAGCCAGAGCGCACACTGCATTGTGCGCCCTGATGCACGGTATAATTTGGCAAATTATGCTGATGCAAAAACGACATCGTTTTATTAAAAACGCGCGTCTCCCCTAAAAAAAAATAAAGTTTAATTCCCAGCAACAATGCATCCGTATGCACCATGCATCCGTTTGCCCATCACCACAATTGATTCATAGTATTCAAGCTAATTGGGTTAACTGTAACTGGCCCACTTCAGTTATATTGGGCCGAATCCAAATTGGGTCAAACTAAAGGCTTTATTAAAAATAAATAAATAAATCAATCATTATGCCCTGCACCACGGCGCGCGTAGCAGTGTGCGCTCCGCACTTTCCAAAACGACGTCGTTTTGGTAAGTTATATAGGGAATTGACACGATTATGTGTATTTGTTTATAAATTATGTGTATATGTTTATACAATTATGTGTATTTGTTTATACAATTATATACATCTTTTTTATACAATTATGTACATCCGAAACATGAAATTTATGTGTATTGTGTTAAGAGTTGATGTTTATTATGTTAAAAGTTTATGTATATTATGTATTATGTTAGATTATATGTATTATCTTTTTTTTAAAAAAGTATGTGTATTTTGTTATACAATTATGTACATTCATGTATACAATTATGTGTATTCTAGTATAAAATTATGTACATTTTTGAACATGAGATTTTTTTTTTTTTTTTTTTACAGAAAATTAACCGCGAACACAGGTTAGCGAAATTTAACAAAAAAAAAAAAAACAAAAA